GAAGTAGCAGTGATGGGAACCATGGAGTCAGAAAAAGTAAGCTAGCTGACTCCAAGAGAGTCTTGACTGGGAAGCAGAGGGTGGAAGATGTAAGGACTGTGCTTTCGCTGTTTTTTAATGGCCAGATCATAATAATAAGTTATGGAAACTTTATTGTGATCTGTTTAAGAGGAGCCAGGACAAAGTGCGTTTTTATGGGCAGTTCGAAGTCTATTAATTGTTTTGATATTTAGTGTTTGGCTTCTGAGCGTCAAGTGTGACCCTTACTGGTGGTACTTTTGCAGGTAATACCAGGAAGATATTTACAGATTGAGTAGAATTGAACTCTGACTATATCTCGCAATCTGACATTTCCCCTTTCCCCAGGAACTCACCTCTGCTACAGCTAGGTGGGACACCTGAGTATGCTGCTTTGAGACAGAATACAAATGGCACCTGCTTGTGCCGTACCTGTCTCTGGGAGTTAAAAAGACACATTGATCTTCACCGCGGTTAACAGCATACTTCTGACAGATGGAAACAGACTTAGCACCTTTCTGGTGAGAACAGCCTTCGCTCGCGCTTCTAGGCAAGACCGACAGTCAGGAGGGCAAGCTGAAAGCGCATCTTAACAGTTAGCAAATGTCGTTTTAAGGGCAGTTTTGGTTTGTTTGGGTTTTTTTTGTTAAACTGTGATTTTAATATTTATCCTGAAGTAATGCTAAAGTGTCTTACCTTCTGTATTCCCAACCACTAGATTCTTATGAAAGTCAAGGCTGACTTTAGTGATTTTCCTTCATGTTAAGTCTGCAGCATTTCATCTTCACTGTACTTTTAATTCTGGGAAGTAGCTCATGTGCATCTGTTAGTCCAGGGTAAAAGGCACCAATTTTGAAATTTATTTTTAGTAGTAGAAAAAAAAAAGCATAGGGAACCCACCCTGTGCCCTCGAATTATACAGCTGGGACGTGTGCGGCTTGTCTGGGTGGGATTGTTTTCTGTGCTGTAGCTGAAGGAAGCAAAGGGTAGTGCAGTTACTGCCTTTAAATGTTCATGTCTCTGATGTTAACATTTGTTTAAAAAGGTTAATTGCAGACAATTATGTGCTAAAGGAGCTACATCACAAGACAAGTCAATAGTACTTGGAAACTGTAACTTTGAATTAATGATAGAACTGAACAGTTATGCCAGAGCAATTTATTTAAGAAGGCAGCACACTTTTTTATTATAAACTGCTAAAGTGTGATGTGTTGGGCTTTTTTTCTTTTTCATAACTGCATAAAAAGGCATATTTACCACTCCACACTGAATTCTTAAAGTGAATGAATAAAGAGCCAAGTATTCTGATGTTTTAAATTTAACATGCTGTTCATTAGTGTTCAATATTTAAAAATAAATCTACTTCTTGAATTAAGCTGTGTCCATTAGATGGGTTTCTTGAAGGCAAAAGGCACAGTTGTGCTTCCTTAGCATGAGAACCTCAGAGTTTAAATAGCTTCTGTGTCTATGCTAAGAGTCTATTACTGTTCTATGGTACTGGTGACTAAAATTTCATTAGCATATCTTGAAACCACGGCAGACGTGTGAGAATCTGTTTTTTCCACCCTGCTCTCCAGCCCCAGCATCCTGAGAGTTCATAGAACTGTTCAGTCAACATTCAGCCCTTATTCCAATTTGGATAAATCCCCTAGCTGGGATCCATCTCAAAACTTGTGAGGAATTGTGCTGTTTTTTCTTGGTAAGCTAGCCAAACCTTTAAAGGTTTCATACTGACACTCTGTGGGATTTTTTTTTTTAATTTATATACATGAAACATAAGCAGTCTGCTATGGAAGTACCTTCAGGTCCTTACCTGAGAGCAATCCTGGCCCTCCTGACTCCACACTCATTTTAGATGGATGCCGTATGGCTCCGAAATGCCCTGATGAGAACAGAAAAAAAGACTAAACATACAAGCCAAACCTAAAAAAACACTCCCCAAAAAAGGGAAGAGAATGAGAAGTGAAAAGAAAGAAGAACTCCAGCTGGCCCAAAGCCTCGGAGGATTTTTTGTTGCTCAGTTCCTGGTGCTTGACAGCTCTAGAAAACCCTTGATAGACTGGGCTGATCTCACATGAATTTTATACTTTCAGGCCCATTAGGATTATGGAGCTGGCTCACTACTGATAAATGTCAGTGTAAAGCAGCAGAGAATCAAGCCAGCTGAGCCGGTCATGACCTTATATGCATAGTGATAATTAATAGCTAATGAGGCTGGTAAAACATGGTTCTGAAATGCAGTAGACTGCATCATCTGGACCATTTAGAAATTAAAATTTTAAATTGCACTGTGAAAAGGAATTACAGACATCTTTTGCCATCATGGGCAAAAAGATATCTTCCTCCATTAAAGGATACATGCCATATATGTCACCGAAATATATGTCACCTTCAATACAGTTATGCTGCAGAATAAGAATTATTCATGAATTTGAGGTCAGAGGGTAAGAAAGCATGGGTTAGACTAATATAATACCTGATTTTAATCCATACTTATAATGAGGGCTGCTGGTTTAGATTTTATGGAGGAGCCTTTCTTGTTACTTTTTTTCTGATATAATTTCTTCCACTCACGTAGGAGTACGCTTGATACGTGATTCTCCGGAGCCTGTTCTCCCGGACTAGTCTGTGCTCTGGAGTAAATACAGAAGTTTACCAAAGGAAACAAGTGAAAACCAATTATTACCAAATATTCTTAAGTTACTTTAGTATGGGTTATTTTCTGTATATATATCTCAACTATTTCTCCTTTTTCTGTATCAGCTAGTGCTGACCTTCTCTGAGGTTAGTCAGTCTAGGACGACTCTGCACACAATGGCTCTTCTTCACTTGTGTTGATTGGAGCAGAGAAAGGGTTGTGGGGTCTACTTCTCTGGAGATATTCAAGACCTGCCTGGATGCGGTCCTGTGCAGCCTGCTATAGGTGACCCTGCTTCGACAGGGGGTTGGACTGGATGACCCACAGAGGTCCCTTCCAACCCTGACCATTCCGTGATTCCGTGAAAATGGATGTAGCGCTTTGTGGCAGAGGAGACCCGTACGGGTGGTGCAGCCAGGAGCCCTGGCAGAGCACGTGGGAGATGCAACCAAGATTCTTGTTTCTTTTGCTTGTAAAAATTCAGCCAGCTTCAGCTAGCTTTTGTCACGGAATTGGTTTTACTTTGGATGAGAGCAAAAGCTGTGCAGAAGCATTAGATTCAGAGAAGATACTTTCTGGGCTTGTTCTGCTCCCAGTTGTGCCTTCTGAAGCGCTCAGGAGAAACAGTTGTTAATTTAAAGGCGCTGCAGTCTGTAGTTACTGTAGAGAAAAAAATGACAAAGACACTTTTGGGTTTATTTACCACATTTCAGTAAGATAAACAACCTGAAGACATCAGCTTTTTCATCAGAGTGGATGTGTGTGTCATACCAAGTCGGCTTTCCGTGACAACCAGCTGGTGTTCTTCCTGCCCAACCTGCTGGGGCGCATCCAGCGCTCGCCTTCGGGGCCACCACTGTAAGGCCTAAAGTGAGCTCGTTTTAATGGCTTTGTTTCAATCAGGGAGAAATGAAAGGAAAATAACAAATTGAGATACCCTGTAGTTTTTTAGGCTTGTTGTAATCAGTAAATATTTCATTAGGAAGTTGGTAGAAAGGTAGCAGCTTTAAATTTTGAAAACAGATTTTGGTCTGTACATTGAGGTCAGTCTCACAATGAAAGAGCAAATCTATTTTTCCATTTCGTGTTTGTTGGCTTTGAACTACACAGACTTGGGCATATAAAACAGAGCACTGAAGCATTTGCATTTCTTCTATTTGCTTTCTATCTACTTGATAAAACCCGAGGCAGAAGGGACTGCTTTTCCCCCTGCCCTGCGTGTGGGAGCATCACTTTTGGAGATATTCTGTTTAGAACATATCCTTTCTTAACAGCCACAGTAGGAGCAGAGGGCAGTGAACTGGAAATGTGATCGCTGCACGTGAACGAACTTGCAACAACTATGCTTAGAAGCTTCTGCTGAAGCAGCTTTCAGTTTTCCAAGGAAAGGATGGCCAGTGACCACGCGTCTCTTTGGAAATCTTTGAACAGAGCCAGAACACAAGATTTGCACGGGTTTTACTGATGTGGGCAGTTTGTAGACCCTGCAGCATTCTTATGCCCCAATATGCTTTGCCCAATTCCTCATTAACTCAGCTTGAGCGGTAAACTAATTTTCACACCCCTCTTAAAAAAATATATGTATTCTTGAACTGTTCTTTCTGTAGCACAGTTGAAGTTCCATTGCAAATTTGGTAAGAATTTATGCAGTAAATATTTTTAAGCATTCTGCAATTAAAAAATGGCAAGAAGCAAGTTGAGATAAATATCACAACCTTACGAATTTTTATGTGATTTGTAGTGATATTACTGTATAAATGATGGTTAGGATTTGAAATCAAGTTCATACACATTTTGTACATCGAAGATATGACTTAAAACTCCCTGAGCATACAAATCTTTGGAATATATGTGGCATACCAGCTGTCCAAGAAGCAGCAGCAGCATCATCTTCTGACAAACGGTATAGAGTCATAGAATCATAGGTTGGACAAGACCTCTAAGATCATCAAGTCCAAATGTCCTCCGAGGCTTGATGTACAGCACTCGGATATGTTTTTTCAAATACTTTGCTGACAGAGTGGAACATCTGAAAGGTGTTTGAGAGTTGTCTTTCTAGAACCATGGTGATACAAGTCTTGCCTTACTGACCCAGGGAGATGTGTAAGCGTCTAAGCAACATGCAGCTCCCTCTGCAGAGAAGGGACTCTAGATTTACCAGTTTTACAGTTCATCTGTTATCTTATATCACCTCATATCAACTCTTGTTTTAACATGCTTTTAGCTATCTCCTGTTTCCTTTAGAGATCAATGCTTGTACCCCTTAGCACTCTCAAGAAAATAAATATTAAATGTAGTAAGATGGATTATTTTTTCATTTCACTGCTCATTGCTTTTCTTTCAGCTTCTTGCCGGATTACATCAGTGGTGATTTTGATTCCATTCAGCCTGAAGTCAAGGAGTACTACAAGGTCAAGGTAAATTAAATCTCTTTGATGAATTTATGTGTATTAGAGCATCGTGGCATCCAACCCATTAGTGCCCTGCTGGTCATTAAGCGATTCTAGCTCCGATGGTTTCTTTGAGGCTTCAGTTGTGAAGCACCTTACAAGCTCTGCCTGGCACTGTGCTAATGCTTCAAGTAAACACAGGAGGTGCAGTGCTGCCCGAGTCCTGCGTAGGGTGCGTTTTCATAGCACTAGCTCAAGAAACAGGTCGCGCGTTGCTGGAGATTATAGCAGCTAGAAACTAGGGTAAAACTTCCATAAAAATCTGTGACTTCTTTTGCTCAATAGAGATGCAGAGCACTAAAGATAAACCTCCCGTGATTCCCACATGGCTGGCACCCACTGACTTTCTAGAGAGAGTTTCTCTGCATAATTTTTGCGCGATATGACTTTACCTTTTTAGCGGGACGCTGCAGATGGAGACATCTCTCTCATCACCTGCTGAAGCGTTGAATAATACCCCGACTACTTCTGTGCCTCACGAGTGGTGTCCTCTCCTTTATGGG